GCGCAATTTGTTCTAAAAATAGAAAAATTGTCCCATATCATAGGTGCGCGCGGATCCCAAGACTTACGGTCTCCGTCCCCGATTATGGCTCCTGGTCAGATATGAACTCTTTGTTAGACCGAGAAGTCTATGAAAACGACGTAAATTAAATTTGAAAACACATCTGTCTTAACAAATGCTGCTCTAGTGTGTTCACCTCAGTCAGACGCGTAGCCCGAATCCAATTATCTTAAACACAAATATTGTTCAAAGTTTCCCTTGAAAACTTGTCATCGGTGGTTTCCTTGAAACTCGGAGGTTTAGACTTCCCCACAATGCATCATTGCAGATGTCTCTGCGGGTACAATATTAATTATAGAGACAATAAACCTTTTACGCAACCTGTTATTTCATTGATATTATATTTACAATGTAAATGTTTTGCATCAAATGGTTAATGTAGAAAAAGAGTTGTAAGAAACCGGAGTTTTTACAACTCCAAGCTTTTTATCAAATAGGCCACCTTCTAAATGATATATAATAAAGAAGTAAAAACATTCCACTCATTTACCTGCTGACTTTCTAGAAAATTTGTGGGTTAAAAGTACAACTCATTAGTCTGAAATAAATTGCTCCAAACATTTTTCCTTGGCCGAAAGGTAATTTCGGATACCGCAGGCTTTTAGTTCCCTTTCAAAACGAGAATAGACAGCTGCAAAACTGTTATAATGAAAATGAATTGGATTTCCATGTGAATGAAGCCCAGATATGAATAAAGTAAGGTTCTGCGCCAAGCAAAAACGAAACTCAGAAATTGCCTTAATTTACGAAAGCTATACGAATTATCAAATCTTTTGGTACAGAATATTCTTTACTTTAACCATAGTTTTGAAACATTTAGCCCCCAGTAGTAAAAAAAAGGGAATTAAAACCTACACCCCCGTACGTTTTAAATTGGCGGCGTTATTAGAAGACGCAATTCGGAAAATATGTTGTCATGTGTGACATATCACTTAAAGTAGAACTAATTTAGGACATGGTTTTGTTTTCAGCTAAAATGCCAAGGAAAATAGTTTTCCTCCTTCTTCTGTAGTAATAGTAAAAAAAAAAAATAATAAAAATTACTCATCCCTAAATTATATTCTAGCGTTTGAAGATACTTGTATAGAGATCGTAGCGCCAGCAGGAATCGTCAGTAACAATCACATCAATACCATTCGTGTCAAAATACCATAATACCAGCTAAAGCTAAAGTTTTTATCAATAAAAATACCAATTTATGATCATTCATTTAAGGAGTTGTTGAATTAAAATCTGGTTCTATTCAGTTTCCACCTATGTACGAGAATGCAAAACTACGCTTCCGCAAATAAAATTCTTCTAGGTCGGACCATTATCGTCCAAAATTGAAATGAGCTACAAGGAGTGTTCAGTTAGAAGAAATTAAATTTGGAGAGTACGACTGCGAATTACACCAGCTGGGTTTTTGTCATGCGAAGTAAACAGTGGCTACGTGTCACGCAGCACTAGTATCTGTCTTAAAGAAGAAGTTAAAGAGATCCTTAAATGAACTTTTTCACTCCGTTTATCTCGCTAAAATGCAGAAATTCTAGAAGAAGTGAAGAACTACAACTACGTAAAGTGATTCCTTAGTATTGCATCGCGCATCCCTACCGCGCACGATTTTCGCGTCATTAGCGCGCGCACATGAGCGCGTGCGCGTACAAAACGTAGGAGATTTCCCTCAAACTAAGCTCGATAGCGAAATAAATGCTCCTTTACTTTTAAACGCGTACGGTGGCCCCCACTTTTTATTTCTTAATTTTTAATGAGAATAATACCCTCAATAACTGAGAAAAAAATTAGCAGAAATCTATGGCTACTTTTTTGGCAAATGAAATATATGCTACAGAGGGAGACATAACTGGCCCAACAGCGCATGTCCAAACTATGTTTCCTTTAAAGGACAAAAAAATGCAAGGTATTTGAAGACATTTTTTCTGGGACGTAGATGAATGAACAATCAAAGAAAGTCAAACTCTGTGTTATATAACACGCTGCATTGAAAAATAATCGAGCTTTTTTGTTGCGCACAGAGATTACCAAAAGTCACCTAAATAACCGTATTTGTCAGCATTGTGGCGTGAAAACAAGTACGGTTACTTCCTCTTTTTTCTACGTTTTTAATATCTCCTTGTCCTGTAACAACAGCATACCAAGTTTCATCGGAAATCTCTGGCGGGTTCTTTTACTAGAGGATCAACGTAATTTCTAGTCAACAAAAGACTCCTCCGTGGCTAAGTCATCTCAGTTCAGAATTAGGACTATTAGCCCCTAAAGACATCACATAAATTCGATCCTATAAAGCGTGCAAAAATGGTGCAAAAATGGTGCAGGATATCGCTGCAATTTCGGCATTTTGATATGATCTAATTACGCATCTGTAGTTTATCGTCTACTTACTCTTCTTTTTTTTCTTCCTTTCCGCGCTAGTTGCTTTCCAGACAAAAATTGTAGTAAATTTAAAAGATGACTTTGCTTTATAAAAGTCACCAATTTAACTAGCTGGATTAAAAGCCATTTCATGTAAAACAGGCCGTTGGTAGTCATTACCAGTGAAATCCAATTCTCTCTCTCTCTCTCTCTCTCTCTCTCTCTCTCTCTCTCTCTGCCAAATGTTTTTTTTGCTTGTATTGTCCTTATTGTATTTTCAGGTTATTTTTGGAGACTCTGACGCGTATATTGTTACCAACGTAAATGTTTGAAGTACAAAACTTGATTTTTAAATTGAGATGTCTATATAGGAGAAAATGTGTTTTCTCTGCATCTTTATAGTGCCGTTTACCAAAACTCTATCGATTCAACGCCCCCAGCCTTTCTTGTAACCTTGGGCCGGTGAAGGCGCGCTTAATTATCAGTGACTCTTGCAATTTTTTCTTTTTTCCCTTTGTTTCATTACTTTTGACCGCAATGTTTCTTACCATTATACCTTATGTAAATTGTACTTCAAAAATTACCCTTAGGGGCTTGTTTACAACTCTACCTTAGAGACCCGGTATTTATTCGGCAACAGGCGTTCAATCAAAAACATATTGACAATACTTACAAAAACAGATATGGACCTGTCAAGTTACTGTAACTAGTGGCTATAATTTGTTTTGATTATAACGGCCCTTCTACCATCAAGAGGGCTCTACTAACAGGTAATCAAATGATTTCTCTCAGACAATTTGTAATAAATAAGCTCTTACAAATTTCTCAAAGACTGCAAATTGCACTCGCCCTATGGGTTCGAGCAATTTTTATTTAGGTTTTGAAAAATTTACTTGTGTTATTAAACCAAGCTGCTCTTAGAATCATTTGATTACCTGTACACATTGAGTAAAATCTGAACGGTAAAATCGAAGGAATTTTTGGTTTTCATTTTCTACAGGGAAATATATTTTAATGACTCTATAAATCGCAAGAAAAACATCAAATAAAGTGAACCCAACAATCTAGTGTTTACGAATGTCACTTTATTTACCTTGAAACATACATGAATCATTTATATCTTAGACGGTCTTAAATAAACAGTGTTAATTTGAAAGATAATTTATTGTTGTTAAATTATTTTAAGTTTAAGATTTTTAGACTTCTTTTCTATCTTTGATGTCTTATTTTTGAGGCGATCCTCTTCCCTGTGGATAGCAAAATAGAGATCATTGTAAATAACCTTAAAGGTGATTTCCAGTCCGAAGTGCGCACTCTCGTGAGTTTGTTTACGTTTTTTGTTTTGATTCATGTAAGACGTCACAATAATGTAACATTTCGCAACTAGTTACATGAAAAGAATTCAATGTTTCATGTCAACCGTCATTATGGATACGAAGCTTTATGCTTGGTTCTTTCTTACATCACTTGATGAAACGAATTTATAGCTGTGAGCATCAAAGAAACTGCTGGAAAAATAATTTAAAATGCCTCAAAGATAAGGTAAGCGGTTCGTAACGAAATAAACATGTTATTTGCCGGCTTAGGGTCGGTCCGTATAGTAAAAAACTGTGACCTCGGGCTTGAAAATGCTGTCCGAGGCGGTTTCGGGCGGCATTTTCAAGACCTCACAGTTTTGATTCGTATTCCTTCGAGTGAGACTCACAAAAATTTGGGTGCTGAGACCACGCAATACAGACTGAAAATTATCTTTGATAAAGGTACGGATAAGAAAGTGGTATTTGGAAATTCTCTTAATTAAAATTGCCGGAGCCCTTGAGCAGGTACAAAAGAATTTTCAAATACAGCGAGTAGAGTTTGCAGATGTCATGATTAGTTAATTATTGAATGACTGAAAAAACTCACGAATGCAAGCTCTCAGCCAATCCACAATGAAGCAGTTTTCCAAGTCATATAATAATATCTTTTTTGCAACTATACATTGTAAACATAACGGTCCTTCACTCGGTTAAGCCTTTTTAACAACATTAAAGCCTAAACGTTTTCCTATTTTGAAATCATGAATACGTTAACTTTATTCCATGGGGACAGCATAGAATTTCAGAAAAGTCCTTCGTCTTGTTTATTCAAAAAGCCTTAAACCTTGCAACTCGCCTCGCTCGCTTAGCTATTCTACCCTGAAACTCATGAGGTCAAAAAGGGGCAAGTCTAAGGGCAGCATTTCCTTTTTAACCATGTATTGTAAAGCGCTTTCGATAATTCATCCCACATTTACTCAAAAAAAAAAAAGAAGTAAATTTTAAGGTTCTTCAAAGTGTATTTGTGGTGTGTGCATAGCTCATCCTATCAAACATACTTCCGTCCCGGGTGACTCCCATACAAAAAGGGAGGAGGTGCGTGCCTCTTCCCCAGGGTCTCCTCGCGAACGAGGTTGCAACCTCCTCAACCTGGGTGCTCGTTAGAAATTTTGAAAAGAACCTCTAAAAGGTACCCCACCCTGGGTCTTGCGTGTCTTCATGCTAACTACGTTTCTGAGTTCATTTCACACGACAATAGCAATTGATATTTTCGGTATTAATAACGAATGTGTATGAAAATTAAAGTTTAAATGTACCTGGCCGGGGAGGCCAAAGCTTGATTTACATATGGATAAACAAAATAGATAGATAGTTTATTGAGTTTGAACCGTTGCAGCGCACTATTGAATGGTTACTTACCTCAGACACAACCACATTGGTAGCGACAGTTTTCTCTCATGTATTCGCCATTTTGATCGCTACTTGCACAGAATTTCCTAAAACGTCTGCAGAATGTTTTGGAATTTTTATTATAGCAACCTGTAATAAAAACATGATTACAATTTAGTCGAAAATGAAGAAATTTTTCGTTGAAAATGTCATTCTGTTCTTTGAGTCCCGATGAAATCATCATATACAAATATACGATTTGTCTTTCATTTACCAACAACTGTTGAATTTATTTTACTGCCTCCTCAATGTGCAGCATACTGAACTGACAATAATGATTCCTTAATGCTCTGCGTAGCTATGACACTGGCATTTTTCGGCTTCCTGCGACTAGGCGAACTTACCTGCAACCAAACTTTTGATCCTAAACACCTTCTCATGAACAGAGACAAGTTTTATGCCAAGGAGTTCACCCAAGTATATGTTAGTGCGCTTAAAGGTGTCCAAGACAGACCCTTTTAGACAGGGACAGACCATCGTTATTGGAAAGACAAATTCACCCTTTTTTCCATCTCAGCAATGGTGGCCTACCTGAACTCCAGGCCCTCCTTTTTTGACTCTGGACCCCTTTTCATCTATATATATTTCTGGTGCATTCCTAACCCGGGAAAAGCTAACAAGGGAAACAAGGCTCCTAATCAGTAAGGGGGGTCTGGAATCAAGTGAATTTGCTGGGCACAGTTTCCGGATAGGTGCAGCTACGACACCTGCTTCAGCCAATTTACCCCCATTGACGAGCCACTGGAAAAATCTAGTTAGGCCAAGAATAACAATATCGGGTATAATAATCTTCATTTCATTTTAAAACATTTAGGTGAATTTAGGTTATGGGTCGTTGGTCCTCTGACTGTTTTGAAAGGTACATAAAAACCCCACCCTCTGTTCTGGCACAGGTCCCCCAACAGCTAATTAGCCCGTTATAAGTTGGCCAGCCTGTTATTCCAAGTGACACAAATGCCTTTTGTTTTGGGGGGCTTACCCCTTTATACGTCACCAGCAGCTCTGACAAAATGTACTCTTTAGCTCAATTCCACTCCCCCCCCACCCCCCCTCCTCTTGCGGACCTATCTCCCAAATATATTTCTGACATAGTGTAAACTTCCTCAATCCTTGCAAAATAAAAGGCACCATATTGTTTTAAAATGAAATGAAGATTATTATACCTGATATTGTTATTCTTGGCCTAACTAGATTTTTCCAGTGGCCCGTCAATGGGGGAATGCTTTGCATTTTGTGAGGGTGAAGTGCTCCTCTCGTCACACTCTTGCCCCCATAGACTCGATTTTCGGAGGCAAACTCCCTCCAGTTTTACCCCCTGGAGTTAGGTTAGTAGAGGCCCACTCCCTCCAGTCAGAGAGGAGGCCCACTCCCTCCTCTCTACCCGGGAATGTTTACAGTGGCCCTGAGTGAAGGCCTACTCCCTTCTCTCCATCCACTGTCTACATCTCCTTGGGCTGTAGGTTTTGTTTTCTTGACACTCCAGGGGTTCATGGGGCTAAAATATTAACTGAGCACTCTGTCACCCACTTCCCCATTTTCAGCCACACAGAGTTGTTGTTGTCCTTATTTTAAGAGAAGCAAAGGGAGGCTGATTAAACTTGAACACACTGAATGCAAACCCACAATTCTTTGAAATTTTGGAATTTTTTTCTGCTTCTAGATACAGTTCTTGGCTTCGTCTTGAATGATAATCAATCTTAGGCGATTTTTTCTTCAAAATATTTTTCATTCGGTCATCTTTCGTTGAGAATTATGCTTTAAACGTGAACAGGATTTCCTATTTTACACTCGCGCGTGGTGGTTTGTATCTTGTGTTTATGAAAATTTCCTCGTTTTGCTTGTTCAATTCCTTCGGTTTCGTGAAATGCTTATCGATGAATTTCTTCAAAAGTTATTGGCTCAAGTAAACGATTAGTATGTTAAAGGAGCTCCGCTTTTAGGCCTGGCTAAATCTATATATATATTATTGAAATTTCGCGCGCTTTGGTGCAAGTGACCTTTACTTTACAATTTTCTTGAGTCAAATATTTTTTTAATACATAAGAGAAATTATGTTATTGATTAAATCGGCTTTGGGTATTTGCCCTCAGCCATTTTATTCAATTTCACATTGTTTATGCGAACGCCCAGTAAACAAGCGCGGGGGATGCAGCCCTACTAAGAAGCGAGTCCATTAACTTGGGGAGAGGAGAAAGGCATAAATTAGCTTACTTTAGAAGCTTTAAAAGTATCTCAGCTTATCCGATAAACATTTTGGGGACGTATGGTGCTTAACTTATAAACAATGTGAAATTTGAAAAGTTAGGCAATAGTGGATGTGCGCACTGGCAGAAACAAAAGTTTGCATTCCTCTACTATCAAATTGTCCTAACATAAATTTTGGCAGTAGTTTCCTAAGCTAAGCGGCCTGTGTGGATAAATTCCATTTCGAGGCTAAAATTTGCCAACGATACATAAAAATCGGGATCAAATCATTGTTCGTGTTTTGACTACATTTAGAACGTAAAATACCAAAGTAAGGGTGTTGTGAAAGTTGAGATCCACATATGGGTAGAAAATAACTATCACTGGTAACATCGATGTCGATCAAACCAACATTATATTTAAAACTTACAATCAATTTACGGCACATATTTGAAGCAGTTTTCCCGACTGAGTTCAGACAGTTAAACTGATCATCGCCCCACTTTCACTATACTAGCTCGTGTCTCTAAGGATTTCTCTTACATTTATATTCGCACACAATTTTATTCATCTTTGACTTGATAATGACGGCGAACGTCGAAAAGTGGTCAATTATTTTTACTTTTAAACTTTTAACCAGATGGTTGTAAGGTTGTCAACAACGTTTTCGCAATTTTTTATACTTAAATAACATAGCAAACCACTTCTTCTAAGAATTTCATATATCACATACCCGGAATACCCCGAGGTGAGTTGGAATCGGAGAAAGGTTCTTCTCCTTCAACAAAGCAGAAGGCGATGGCCACGAGGACGAGCAATGCGCAAGCGAACTTCATCGTGAAGGGTGGACTGTACTTCACTGATCTAAAATTACTGCTTAGCTGATTTGATTCAGGTAATGTGATACACTAAGCGAAAACTCTGCGTCCTGCAACCCTTTTATAGTTCCCCTAATCACCGCGGATAGCTGATTAATGGTGGGCGAATTTAATAGCATAAATGTTTATTAGTTTTACTACCTCAAGGCGTCTGCATGTCTAAAATCAAGTAATTTGGAGAATTAATCTTTGCGCGTGGACGTTAATGCAGCAAACGAACAAGTTATCCGAAGTCGTCAGAAAGTAGAGAGAAAAGAGAGAAAAAAAATTGAGAAGAGCGATAAAAACAGCAGTGTCAGCAGCTTGTTTAATGTAGAATAAAACTCACGATAACCAGTTTCTTATTTTTCGTGGGTTTAATTCATTGAATGAGGAAAAAACGTGCTTGGCTTGTTTGGCTTTTATTGAAGAAAGCCATCTGTTTATTCGATCACTACTTTTGATCGGCAGACAACTGGCAGAAGCGAAATTGAGCTGACGTAGACTTAATAGACAATTTCTTGATCATTTGAGGTTTAATTACAGGAAAACGCTACTTTGACCTTGAAATTAAATTTTACGGGTTTTTCTCCGCGTTTGAGCAAACTACAGGAAATCCATAGTGATGGCTGTATATTATTCCGGAGGACCACGTAAAGAGGCGTGATATCTTAAATTTTCGTAAAACTTTGTTTTCTTAAGGTAATCAGTGAATAGTGTATGGAAAATTTTCATAAGAGTGTTTAAATCTCTTCCAGCGATTCGTCAATTAGCTTCCAATACGAAAGCACGCCCATTCCAAAGTTCGATTCCTGCCCCTATCTGCATTCAAGTTAAGTAATCTAAACATTTAAAATTCCTCTTTACTGAAGGCTACTCTAAAGATCCTCCGACATTATTAAAAGACAAACATAATAAAATAAGTGCCTTGCACAAAGCAGTTAGTTTTGACTTCGTACCCCCCAAAAAACGACACAAATAATTCGGTGATCTTATAATCCCGGTTTTATTTCCAAACACGCCTCTTTTACTGAATTTTTAGACCTTACAGAGTTCGGTCTGGCATAATTGGTATTATTTTTGCTTTTACAGCTGATAGCAAAGTCTTCATTTATAGTTATACGAGGAATAATTCGTGTACTGATCCGTTCAATATGTATCAGGTTTTTTAACCTCCAATTTCGCGATGTTGCCAATGTGTACCTCGTTTTGTAGCGTGCTTCTAACAGCTGTATCCAAGATTATTTAGCTATCACTATAGCAAGCGTACAAAACGCTAAAAAAAAAAATAATAAATTTAAGGAGTCCTGTGGAGGAACTCGTTAAAGCGGTGCACTTTGAATTCAATTTTCTTTCGTGGATGAAATCCCACGAAAGTGCTTTTGTCGCCTCACTGTCGGTGTTAATTTAACTTTATCGACGAAATTTCGTTGAATTGCATGTCAGGCTAAATTTTTTTTTTTTTGAAAAAAAAAAAAACTTAATCGGAACCAATAAAAGCGGCAAATTTAATAAATCGGACGCAATTCGTTCATCATGAAAATTGATCAAAAAAGCGCTTAGTTTTTTTGTCTGTATTTGAAGGATTTTATAGATATTTGCGGACAAGCCTGTAGACTGGAAGAATCGGCACGCTCTACCAACCGAACACATGGAAACATTTAGGCATTACTTTTACTTTTTTCGAGAACTTGCGCTACTCCAAACAAGAAAGATCAGTTGCAGATTGTCTGACAATGTCGGCAGTGACCATGTGACTGACTGATTGACCGACAGACTGACAACTGGACCGATGCAGAGAAATTCATTTTTTCTAGCAAACTGCTTAAAATTGAGCGAAACAGTATCAGCATCACAGAAAACTGAGAAAATGTTATAAGCTTGTTATTTGAACCATAGATATGATCCATATTCTGATTCCAGCTAATTTGTCTCGCTTGAGGTCATATGCAACAACAAAATATATTACTGTCTGTAACTTATCAATTTCGGAACTTTTTGATGTTACCAATTGAAATGTGCGTGTATAGGTTGTTAATCACTCTTCAGCAACATGTCCATATTGCAAACAAAAAGATCCTGCCGTGCACGTGTATATATAGCGTTCTTTTACACTTTATGATATCCCGACCTTAGTTTTCGCTTGTGAACTGAAACCAAAACCTGTTTCTAATTTACACCAGCTTGGATTAATTTGTCACAACGCGAAATATCGAGAGTGACTTAAATTCCTGATTTCGTGATATTTTTTTAGTCGTTAAAAGAATTGTGTAGGTTTTTAACCGGCTGCACGTGATAATGTTCTTGTTAATTACATCTAAACCATGTTCTACCCAAAACAACGTTCTTAAAATTGAGACATTTCCTGTCATTTTTTTTCCTTGGTGCAAAATCTTTTATATCAAAGTAGACTTTATACACAGGTTCATTTACATGCCAATGAAACTCATATTCGTTTCTAAGGTTTTGCACTAGCTATAGCCTATTGTGTTGCTCTGTAGCGCAAAGTTTTGAAGAAAGTACCCAGTCGATCAATGGTTTGAAATTTTCATTTTATACGCTTCAGCCTATCTTTTTTTTTTTTTTTTCATAGAAGATGGGCATTATTAGAAAAAGCTTATATTTGTTACTTCAGTTTTGTACCAAACGCTTGTTGCAAGACAAAGTTTACTTTGTTAATTGAAATGAAACGGCAAATCGTGTAAACACTTTTATGATCTCGTTGATTACCAACATATCGATCCAGGAATGTCTGGCAAAGAAGCTGCTAAAGAAAAAGGAATACTTTGTTGAAAACTTTTAACCGCCTCTAGCTGACGATTTGCGCTAAGAAACTAAAGTGGGAACAGTATCATGAAACCATTTAACTGTGGTGACTTAAAAGAAGCGGCAATGAAACGGAAAGTTACTGTAAAGTAACAGTTTTTTTGTTTTTTTTTTTGGTTGTTTCCGATTGGGAAACATTTATCTATGCCCCGACTTAAAAGAAGCGGTAATGAAACAGAAAGTTACTGCACAGTAACAGTTTTTGTTTGGTTGTTTCCGATTGGGAAACATATATTTATCTATGCCCTGACATTCAACATTTCATTATGATGAAATAGTGCCTTTTAATTCTGATGAAACCCATTAATGAGATGATTCACGAAAAATAAACCTTAATGTTTTCTTCTGATGATTTGGGTCCATAGAACTTGGATTTTTTGGATTTTGTCCAAAACACACCTTGGTGGTCACTAGGAACATTACATAAGCTGGCCTCATAAGAGCAGGCAAAATTTTATCAGGGTGTTTCTTAATCCCCAAATAGACGCTAAGAAGAGAAAATCTCAAATATTTTTTAAGACCGGCAATAATTTATAAGGTATTATTCGAAATACTTTCAGCTGAGGATCACTATGTTGAGGCTGAAACCTCAATACAGGTGTTCGAATCATTGTACCAATTTTTCACCCATAAACGCCTTGCTGCTTTTTTTAAATTTGATTTCTTCTCCTTGTCTTGATATTTTGTCTCTATCTGTCCTTTTTTCCTTCCCATTTCTATCCTCGATAAGCTTTTGCTATTTACGTGCCGTGAATATACTTTTAGGAATCAAAGTGCTACTGTGTAGCAACTCGTGATTGCATCAGAAGTCTTAGCTGGTCGTTCATAACCGTTCATAAATTAGCTTTGAGGACTCATGTGAGTTTCGTAAGGCACTTTAACTTGATTTTGGACAAGTAACCATTGACTCGGGATCGATTACCCGTGCAGAGTATGAACTTTTTTTGTCTTCTTCATTATGTCAGAAGTATCGTGAATGCAAAATATTTCAGGTTTGAAAATGGAAGTATTGACAGCATTCATTTATCAAGGCTTCGGCTCACAGCCATCAAAGGTATCCTTCGATCTACTTATAAACTACACCCGCGTTTGTTTGTATACGAAGTCATTATGTATTGGTCGTGCGATTCCTAACCCGAAAGATTTTAATCTTGAGTAAAAGTTCCTTGCTCGCTTATATCCGTCTGTGTACCACGCTTTAAACCCTTTATAATACACATTTACGCTTTGTACATTGGTCAGCTGATGTTTTAAAAAATAGTAACGACCGACCAGGGATTTTTTAGTAGCATTTATCCCCTGCAGACCAGGGGAAGAATCTCTTCTCCCCCTCTCCACTGAGTTCTGGAATTTATAGGCTATATTGAATGCACAAAATAAAAATATTTCATTTGACGTGAGCAAAAAGGGAAAGAAGAAACGAAAGTAATTCTGGTAGTTGTAGTCAAATGACGGTATGGTAGAAATCTGCTATTGAGATCCACTTTTGGCTTGAAGTTGATAATTCCAACTTTTCTTGGTTTCCATCTCTCGTCTTAGATTGCCTCGATCTGCACCCACGCGTGCGCACATTTGGGAACTCGTAGATTTCCATAATTCAACACCTGCTTGCCACAAAGGCCGCTAGTAGAACCACTAACATTAATTTAAAAGAAGAGTTCAGTTTGCCTGGTAGGACGAGTCTTAGATAACCCCTTCCTCCAATCACTAAGTAAACAGACTCAAGAACGTTTAGAGCATAACGTAAATGTACAGCACCACAAATCATCCCCGACAGCTAATTAAATGATCGCCAGACCGGAAATAATCCCCATATTGGACCGCGAATGATCCCGAACCGCAAATCATCCCCTCCGGAAAATAAAGAATGGCATGGATTTTCTTCCTCGGGTCGAGGTTGCAATTTTTAACCTAAAGAGAAACAAGTCATACCTGACCATATTCCATATAGATAAAATTTTCAGGATAAATAGTTCTTCAGATAGATTGCCGTGTGAAAAAGTTCTGCGGAATGCCTTGTAATCGGCTTTGCCTATATAAAAACTATCACATTTCATAACAATTTAACCGAAGCGAAAATTGTGAACGGATAACCATAGTCAGATCAGTCACTCAAATTTTGCATCTCAAATTACTGAATCGTGTCTAGTTTTCTCGCCTGCACGTTGGTCGTACCCTGGGTGCTAGAGACTTTTCAAGTCAAGTGCGGTTTCCGGTTTTGTTTAATTACGCGAAATAATAAAACCTCTGATACAAAGGGTACTCTTGTTATCGATTTTGAAAATCGGTAGCACGAAATTTTAGCGGATGGTGTAACCTATGTATCAGGTTGAGGTTGCTTATGAAGCAAGACTTCTTTGGTCTGGAAATCTAATACGAAAACTGCTGCCATTCTACTTTAGTTCATAATGATATCCGGTTTCTCGGTTATCCGCATGTTTCCCACGGGTAATAAAGGTAAGTGTTAGTTCGCTCAACAAGATACTATGCAAGTTGACCGATCACCGCTCCTGTCCAGATTCAGTACACGTTTATATCATCAGTATGGAATTTCTGGCTGTAAATTGCAGACGCGGAAGCCAAACCAGCTTGGAGTGTTGAGATGCGGACTTTCTAGCTTACGACTTAAAGGGCATGAATATGTCATGATCGCTCTTACTGGTGATATCAACACAAATGTATACAAGTTGTTTATGTCTTCGTTATGGTAGCATTAAGCTATTATTGTTGTAGATCGAGCCAACTGAGAAATGGTGTTGCTGTTTACGACCTTTTTTCGCCGTGATTTTTCAGAAGAATTGTCAAGAGAAAATGAGATGGAATTATTTATCATGAGAACTATATTTAAATTGCAGTTTACGTTGTAAGTATCTTTTCTTTACATTTATCGTTTGGATGATGATAATAAAATGAATAAATAAAGCATGGAAACAAACTCCGGGCCATTTCGGCGGGATCATTTGTGGTCCACATCGGGGATCATTTGCGGTTCGGGATCATTTGTGGTCCAATTTTGGGATCATTTCCGGTCTGGGGATCATTTGCGGTCGGGGATCATTTGCGGTGCTGTACAGTAATCTTGATCTCAGATCGCAGTTATTTAGATTTTGGATGGATAAACCATTTGAACGTAAAAGACAATTTGCCGAAAGGAAAACCACATGGCTAGGAGTCTTGACGTTTGCTAAGAAAGCACCCTTAACCACGGGGTGCATACTTGAAAGGTAGGCTTTCTCCTAAGGCATACCTTGGTTACGTCAGGTGGCTAGCTCATTGATTGTTTGAAGGAAAAATTCAAGTTATATATCAAATACGAGTGACAGTGTTTAGTCGGGATATCCAAACACCGAGAAGAGAGTTGAAAATACGACGCACAGCGAATTATTTTTGACGAAATTCGAGGTGTTTGGATAGCCAATGAAACACTGTCTCGAGTGTCTGATATATCTCCTCAATCGAAACAAAAAATAAGGAGTAAACGGAGAAGTAAAATCGTCAAAATCTGCGCAAATTAAGACCGGGTATCCAAACCTTCACGGTTGTGATAATCTTTGTTTTAACTTGATGAATTATTAATGAGTTTGAGAAGGAAAAGAGAAAACACCTTACATAATGAAATGAAACTACTAGCTCGCTTGAGAAATGGTTCACTTTTTTCTCAAGAGCGAGATAAAAACTTAGTTTACCATTTCGTTCAGGTTTTGTTAGCAAGTGACCATGCACCCCACTACAAGTTGCTTTTTTTGCTTTCATTATGTTTTCACTAGGATCTCTCAAGAGAGTCTGCTTGTGGGCTATAATTATTTGTTATACATCAACATTCATCTTATATAGAGGATATTACACGGTGGCAAGAAGATATGGATTTTATGTTCCCGTGACAAGAACAATATCTCACGAGTGAACGCAACGTGTAATGTTCTTTTTATTATTTAGACATACTGATGACGGCGTTTTTGACGATTTTTTGAAGATTTCCGACTACTTTCCGAAGAACGCCGAAGACTTTCGAGGAAGACTCGAAGATATTTCGATGATACACCAGCGAATTTGAGTACAATTTGAGAGACAAACTTGATATCAGTGAAATCATCGATATCTTTACTAGTGAGGATATGGAAAATACGCCACTCGAGTTGCGGATGTGGCTTCGTGTGAATTTTACGAGTGGGGTATTTTCCAGTAAAACACCCGTGTCTATGTGATAAAATGTCCTATTTTCAACGCGAAGCAAAAGAATACTTGTCTTTTTTTAAAAAACGAATAATTGTTTTATCATAAATATCGTTTCTAGTTGTTAGCCATGCTTTAGATCATCAAAACAGTAGTAAGAATGGTATGTTTTACCGCTGTTTTATTTGGGCTATTAACAGAAAACTCGTAAATTAACAAAACAAAACAAAAAATTTACGAGAGATAAATGTTATTTGCATCGAATAATTGTATTCTTTATTTTCACTAAGTTGAAATAGCAAATGCAATTATAGAAAAACAGCATAAAAGGAAGAACGGAGCATTTTATTTACTCTGAAAAAACTTTTCCATTGGCTATACAAACTGAAAAGGTTTAGGTCAATATTCTTGAAAGACTTACCGCTTTGAAAAAACTGAGCCGTCAAATATGCTAAATTATTTGACGCAGGTTAAAACACTTGACATGAAAACCACAAGGAAGTTAAGGAGCTTCCTCAAACGAAAGATAAACATTACTTAGATAACGAAACTACTTCTCTATGCCGGAACATACTGTATTGTTCTAAACTAACTTATTAGCGAGTTTTGAATTTTGCTTCATCCTTTGAATGATATGTGGTTTCCTTGAGTCTTAGCTAATCTTATCTCTGAGAAAATTTCTTCTGTAGCCATTTGCCTTTAAAATAATTGGATTAACTTTTAATATATTCATACGTGTGTACGTTCCGGTGCAAGTTGTAGAAGTGTAATCGTTCATTCGTTCGACTTGAAAAACGCCGAAATATTTACATTCTTTTTAAACGAGACTTCGTCTTTGACAGGATTTTTTTTTTCGTCTGGCATTATAAAGAGCAAGAGGTTTTCAAAGTACTTTCAAAATCTCTAATTGTAATTTGTTTTTGATTTTATCGCACAGAACTGAAGTAGTTGTCTCCTCTTTAAATCGCATATTGATAGCGACTTTCTTGGCTAAGGTGAGAAAATGACAGATAATAATTGAAAGCACACAAAATTTGTCTTCCAATTTCGGTGTGTGAAGGATTTTTCTCACGCTTTCGGAAAGAAATTGCATTGATCTGTGACAAATTCGTTTCCTTAGCTCGAACTGAAATCAGGGACCTTTTGTTTCCTTATCGATCTAAGTAATAATCCTACGTTAATACATCCGTTCTCTTGATTCAGTGTTATGAATAGTATCTGTCTATAAATTAACAACCCTGGCATCTCATCTTAGTGTTATTAACTAAAGACAGCTCGTTGAACAAGCTGCTCGGGAGCACAGAAAAAAAGTAGGTAAGTTCCTTTAAACTGACCACTTGTCTTTGACACAAGTGAACTTTAACAGAATGTAAATAATAACGGTTCAATCTTTTTGTAATAAATATTTGAAATGGTCGAATCTACACATTCTTGAAATTAATAGGGACTCCAATTTGTGGTATTGCGCTGGGCTGTTGTCGGTAAACTATAAACTGCACCCTAACAACATATTCAAGTTCGTGTTAAAATGCCTGAATATTATTTAAATGTTCTGCAACGTTATTTAGGTTTGACACTTGAAGTCAAAGTTTACGTTATTTAGAACTTTTCATTTTTAAATGTTTTCCTAGAATTGTCCTCTCTTAAAACGGCTTAGCCATAGAACAACACTGAAAATAGAAACCTAACGTCCTTTTTCATACCCAGATTTTCTTCATTATAATTTCCTTGCGCGTTATTTTAAGTTTCTCTCGCGTAAGCTCTTGGGCTATTTTTTCTTCATGATCAAGAACATTTGCAGATTATATTTGCACTAGTAAACTAATTTCTAAAATACAGCCTTTGAAGTTCGTAGAAAGGCTGGTTCGAACAAGTCATCGCCACTTTGATGCATATTTCTCACCTCACATTTGTATTTTATTTAACGGTATTAAAAAACGCACACGGGGGAATTAAATAAGTAAATGTTCTTCCCAGCAATGGACTAAGATTGTCATGATCAAATAGCTAGGTTTTTTGTTCTTCAGACACAGTTCGTTCTTATTATAGGCAATATTGGTCCCTAAATTGGCGAAAAGAAGGACAATTATCCTTCTTAGAATTAGATTACACTCCGGAAACGTTGCGAAACAAACTTTGGTCCAAAGCAATACTTAAATTCAGAATTAAGTTGATTCCAAAGTTTCGTTTTCATTTCAGTGCACCGTGTTATTGCCATGGAAAAACAAATTGTATTGTGTTGCACCGCATGTAATCCGAGATTAAACTGATCATTTAAATCATTTTCAATCTGGACACCAAGGCCGTCAGATTGGAATCTGAACCATCCATGGGAAATCTCAGAAAGAACAATATGATAAGATGAGAAAATAAATATCTTAGTCTCGTGGCTACGTAATTTGGAAAGTGATCATTTTAATTTCTTTAAAACAAAAACAATGGCATACTGTTAGCAATTTGCTATAAGCGCTTTAAGACTCATGGAATTAAAAACAACATTCAGTTCTGAATCCAGAGCTAAAATTGGTCAATGTCGAGAACAATTCTCGACTGAATTACGGTTTTGGTCTGGATGTTGAATGATAATCCCGTAATTATACCTAATTTCTGGTATAAGATCTTCATTGGTTGAAATGTTATCGTTTACTCGTATAATTTAGCACTTTTGAGACCTGCAACAAAAGAGCTTTGAAAAAACGTTCTTCCGACAGAAGAAAGCAAAAATTAGGACGATATATCCTTACATGAAAACAGCTGGAATATTGACTTGGAACTGAAAATAAATAATCGGTTCTTAGGGCCCGATAACAACAAACAACTGCTTCCTCTGTGGCAATACCAAATACGTGTATTCTCAAATGACAAAAAAAGCAAAAACACAAAAAAGCGCACGCTTGGAAATGTTTTCTATAAAATTATTTTCTCTCTTTAGTTTATTATAATAGATGTTTCTTTTTTCTTATACTTCATCGCTGAGATTTTTCGGCATCACTTTAAATTCAGCCCATGCTTTAACAATAAGTTACCATCGCCGAAGATACAATGTACCTTAAAATTGTTTAATATTCGATACTAGATCTGTCATCAAGAAAAAAAACACTGTGTTCAGTTCTGTTTTATTCTAAGGATGGTAAGAGCTATTTTCGTGATTCGTAAAGGCCTATTTTTTTCCTGGGAATTGGTACTTTTTTCTCGTGAATTGTGATTTCGTTAGTAATCGTGAGCCATGAGTTTTTTTGAAACAATTTTCGGTAAAATGAGAAATAAACCTTCAATTCTTCGTGAAGCCTTCAAGTTTTGACTATGTTTTCTATTAATTTTGACACCCTTCATTACGTAATAAACATTGCCTTGTCGTGTAAGGAAATCTCTTCGATCCTTCTGTATTCGTCTTCAGTAGAATGGGGTTTTCCTTTCTTTTACCTCTACCTGTGGAAAACATTTCACTGCTTTTGGTAATCCTTGAAATATTTCTTTTCTTTCATGTGAATTATGAAAAATACTTTTATATTTTCCGTGGACATGATCTAGATACCCCTCAACCACCTTATATTCTATCTTAGATAGTTATGATGGCAAGATTTACCCTTAAAGGCATCGCATCAGTACCAAAAACTGTACTTATTACACTTTCCCAGGATACTAGCCATTGACACATTGATAAAGTTTCTATATCTATATAAAGTTTCTATCTATTTATTTGAAGGCTGGCATTAGCCTACTTGCATATATATCATATCGATATCCAAATTCTGCGTAGTCTAGAGAAAGGCAGCCATGATGGCCAATTTTTAAATTCATTTTTCGAATTCAACGCTGGCTTACATATTCAGCTTTTAGATAGCTCTGATAGCCATAGACAAACTGAGTGACGCAAGATTATCGCAGGATTCGTAGGTTAAATATATATTTTTTTTCAACCGAAGATGTCCTCACCGTCGCCGTCGTGGTTGCTTAACTTCCTTTTGACTCTACATGACTCACCCTCCTTAGTACTTCTGGCAGTATTGTGCCTTGAAACGTGAACAGGTTTTGAAAATTATGGCTTGATATCAGTCTTCAGGTTTATATCAATAACAATGCGTACTTTTATTTCCATTTTTTCCCTAGAGAAACAAAAAATTATTTATCATGAAAAACGGCATTGTAACAGCATTCGCTATCTTGCTTGTTATGGGCGCGGTTGTGCAGAAAGGTGATTCATTCATCAGAGCCGGAAGAGAAATGATCTACAATAAAGAAAGAGAACCTCAGCAGCCTATCGAAGACTTCTATGACAGAGTCGCAGCGCCGCCCCCACAGGTGCTATTTAAGAAAGGTTAGCAGATATTACACGGTGAAGAGAGTTGTGGGACGGAGTGTGCAAAACAGCAACAACAAAAACAACATTAGACAAACAAACAAACCGCTACGCCGGCAGACGACGTGTACTTTGCACTCTTTCGCTAGCCGTAACGTTTACTGCAAACTTCTAGGCTTGAGTTATTTAATTTTAATATATCCTTCCTTTAAGTTATGCCAACACGAACGACGGCACCGGAAGAAAGAAACACTGGTTCTTTTTCCCAAGTCATTTTCGTTACCGTAATTACATATCTGTGCAGGAGCTGTAATTTTGAGGACGTTCTTTCACTGCTGATTGGCATTTACTGATAAAAAAGGAAATACCTACGATTAGGAGTTGCGTTTTTGATTGCTCGACAACATTCGGGCACCCGCCAAGGGGTTATGGGACTAAATTAGAAAATTAAATCAAATTAGAAAATAACAAAATCTAAGTTTTTTTGTGTCATTCGCTTCATTGACTAGCTGGGGAGAAATTTCATTGAAGATTGAAAAGCCATTATTCTATTAAAGTGGCCATGGGGTTTAGTTCATAGCCATTTAATTCCGACTTGGTGTTTTCCCAATACTTTATCTCAGCCCAGTTAACAAGCTTCAAGTTATGCAGTACTACCCCACATGTAGTATGATCCAAAAATATTTGGCTCAGGCAGTTTAGATCATCAAACCGGCTAGTTTAAAGAATAAAGAAAATGCTGGAATTTTGCTGCAAAAAATTAAATCATGACTTTATCTTTTTTTGCAGGTTATGGCATGAAGCACGAAAGAGAAGACATCGCCTTGAAGCGAAACTGAACAAGAACCTCGTTGTAATTAGATAAAAGTATTAATTTCTTGCTGAAACTATTTTCATTTAAGTATACTTATTAACTGATAACTGTTGTAATAAACATAAGCCGATTGCTTAATGAATTGTTAACAAAATGAACGTAAATTAAACGTCTTACATCATAACTCTTGGATTTTGTTCCTGAGTAAATCTTAGACGTTTCTTTACCTTTAATTTCTTTCGTTTTTATTCTTCTTCGATGCGATTTCGTTTATTTATTGTTAATATTTTCCTCCCCTCCCCTCTCTTCTCATCTGAGCTCTCTTCCCTTCTCCTCTCTTCCCGTGTGTCCTCCTCCTGCCCTTGCCCCGCCCTCTCTTCTATTTTCGTCCTTCCTCTCCTCTCCTCTCCTCTTTTTTCTATTTCCTCTAACCAATGGTTGTATCCAAATGACTGTAAATCAAAGTCTTTGTACCTCCGCAGAAGGTTCTTTTACCCGTGTTACCTAAAGATTTGAAAAAGTTGAAATCTAATTAAGCAAATGAAACTTTTTGAGATGGACTAATGCATTGTTTAGTTATATCTTACCTGTCGAATGCAGAATTACGAATAAATGATATTCTAACCGATAGGAGAGAAAATTCTTCATTGTGTCGACGCAGACTATTTTTAGTTGTTATTTTTAGGTATAGGTTCGGCAAGCTTTGTGTTACACGAGATTTAAAAAGACACCACGTGAAAGTAACCCCCGTGCTAAAGGTTGTTTATATTTCAGACATGACATGGAATACGGGTCTTTTATTGGTTACCAGGCTTCCAAAAAGAGTCGCTCGTGAAAATTACCCCTTGTCTAAATATTTGACACTATTAAGGTGGCTCCATAGGCTTTATAGTGTTGCGCATTTTAGTATTATGTTTTAAAAGCTACATACTTCGGTTTTCGTTTTTACTCTCGGTTCACTCACACCTATAAAATGTCATAAGCAATACAATCATCTCTGTCAAAACAATGGCTTTAAGAGGCATTGCCTGTAAATATGGAGAATCCGACGACAGGTCGG